CCAAAGTTGCATCGGGTTAGGGCTCTGCTTCACACTGGGAGTCTCAGGGTGGAAAGAGGGAAACAGGGCAGGCTCTATTCCAAAGCCAGAGCAAATCACTTCCTGGCTCAGCGCGTCAGTTTCCGCTTCAGAAAAATGGGCTTAATAACAGCCCTCTACGCCCTGGGGCCACCCCTCTGTTTGCATTCCCCGCCGCCTCTCCATCGCCTCCCCCGCAGCCTCTCGGGACGGTGGGGCAATGGGAGACCCTTCTGGCTCCTCGGCCTCGGGGCTCACCTCTGCCTGCACAGTCGCCCAGTTCCAGATCCCAGGCAGACGCTAATCCACTCTCTGACAGCCTGGCCACCTGACAGCCTCAGCAGGCCTTTTCCTTTATTTACCTCCCCCGGCCCAGCGCCCCTCCCGCCCAACTCTGCCCCGGCCCCACCCACCTCGCAGCCAGGCTGCCACCTTCCCGGGGGTCCAGGTCTCTACAGGCTCCATGGTGAGTCCAGTCCGCCCGCCCGAAGGGATCCAGGGATCTGTGCCCGCTCCGTCCCGCGGGCGCAGGAATTTCCGCTCCGGAGCCCAGGGGTGGGGAGGGGCGGGGCGGGGCGGGGCGGGGCGGGGCGGGGCCGCCAGCTTACCTGGGCCCACGTGGTTGGCCAGGTGAGGCGCGCAGCCAGCCATTGGCCCACCGCCGCCGGCCTCCTGCCCGCCCTTCAGGCTGTGCCCGGGTTGCTGGGCGGCCTGATGGGAGGGCGGTGCCACTGGGGTGTAACCCCTGTGACCTGAGTCCACCTGGGGTCCAGCCCCAAACTGGCTTCACAGGGGGGGACGTTGACCTTTAGGCTCCTCAAAAAGAGGCTGAAGCCCGGCCGGTGCCCAATCTACCGCAGCTATGTTGCAAGTCTCCTGAAACAGTGTGATTTAACGGTGGGTTAATAACGATCATAATTTAAAATATTTTTTATTGGCTTTTTAGAAAAAGAGGGATAGAGAAACATTGATGTGAGAATGAAACATTGATTGGCTGCCTCCCTATCAGGGTTTGAGCCCAAAATCCAACCATGTGCCTTGACCAGGAATCAAATTGGCAACCTTTCAGTGTGCAAGGAATGACACCAACCAACCGAGCCACACCAGCAAGGGCAACTATCATGATTTTGAAATAGTTATGAGCATAAATATTTTTAGATACTTGCAATAACTACAATTCATTATAAAAATACTAGAGGCCCGGTGCACAAAATTCGTGCATGGGTGGGGGGTAGGGGGGTGGATTGTGTGTCCCTCAGCTCAGCCTGCACCCTCTCCAATCTTGGATCCCTCTCACAATCCAGGACTGCTGGCTCCCAACTGCTTGCCTGCCTGCCAGCCTGATCACCCCCTAACTGCCCTCCCCTGCCAGCTTGGTCACCCCTAACTGCCCTCCCCTGCCAGCCTGGTCACCCCTAACTGCCCTCCCTTGATGGCCTGGTCCTCTATAATTGCTCTCTCCTGCTGGCCTGGTTCCTCCCAACTACCCTTCCCTGACGGCCTGGTGCCCCCCAACTGCTCTCTCCTGCAGGCCTGGTGGTCCCCAATTGCCCTCCTCTGATGGCCCAGTCACCCCCCAACTGATGGCTTGATTGCTTCCAACTGCCCTCCCTTTGCAGGCCTGATCCCTCTCAACTATCTTCCCCTGCTGGCCTAATTGCCCACAACTGCCCTCCCCTGCAGGTCATCTTGTGGTGGCCATCTTGTGTGTTGGAGTTACGGTCAATTTGCATATTACCTCTTTATTATATAGGCTATGTGATTTCTATTGGTGACAAAGCCGCAGAGACTGCTAATACTTTAATCCATATGGAAGGGAATGCCAAATTTTGATTAGATGTTAGTGAAAATAAATATATTTTTTTATAAATATCTCTCCAAGTTTCTGGGATCCCTGGATTCTAAAACCCAGGTTAAGAGCCTTCTCTTAGAACAGTGTTTCCCAAAGTGTGGTACGCATACCCCCAGAGGTACAGGAAGAGTTTGGTGGGGGTACGCGTTGCACTGGAGTTTGGTGGGAATATGCACTGCACCGTGCTTAGCTGCGCCTAATTCTACGTTCTCATGAGTATGAGGAGTACTCAGCGTTACGAAAATTATAGAAGGGGTACACATATGTCAAAAGCTTGGGAAACACTGTCTTAGAACATCTGAAATGTACTAAATGTTGCAGTTATCATTATCAGCACAGCCAGCCAACAGACTCCCAGGACTTTGGAATCAGACCCAGTTGCACTTGCTGTGTGACTGGGCCCAAACTCTACCCATCTCTGAACTTATTTCTTCTTCTCTAAAAGGGGAACACCTAGACCTTAGTGCTGCGAGGGGTCCTTTAAGTATTCTGAAATCTATAACATGAAGTAGAGCTTTAATTTTACAAGGAGGCCTTCCTAGAGCCTACCCCTTTGATTGAGCCACCTAATTTGAAATCTCTACCAGTGCCCCACAAATAGCCTTCAAAGCCCATTACTATTTGCCTGTTAACAAAACCTAAAGGCTGAATTTGGTCTGTCGTCTGTGTGCGTTCATTGCCATCATTTATTAATTATTTTAAAGTATTTTTTTTATTGATTTCAGAGAGGAAGGAAGAGGGAGAGATAGAAACAGCAACAATGAGAGAGAATCATTGATCAGCTGCCTTCTGCAAGCCCCCTACTGGGATTGAGCCTGCAACTCAGGCATGTGCCCTTGACTGGAATCGAACCTGGGACCCTTCAGTTCGACAGGCCAACACTCTATCCACTGAGCCAAACCAGCTAGGGCCATTTAATAATTTCACATACAGCCCTAACAGGTTTGGCTCAGTGGATAGAGCATCGGCCTGCGGACTGAAAGGTCCCAGGTTTGATTCTGGTCAAGGGCATGTACCTTGGTTGCGGGCACATACCCAGTAGATGTGTGCAGGAGGCAGCTGATCTATGTTTCTCTCTCATCGATGTTTCTAACTCTCTATCCCTCTCCCTTCCTCTCTGTAAAAAAATCAATAAAATATATTAAAAATAAATAATTTCACATACAAATTGAGTTCTATGGAACTTGGCTAGCTCTGCTGACCCCGATCCCTTCTTGATAAGTGGCATCAAACACAAGTACAGGCCATCAGTTGCTTCCTTCAAAGGGGACTCCCTGGCTCAGCTTCCGTTTCTGAAAATGGATCAATAACAGCCCTCTCCGCCCATCTCATGAGTCCCCGCAGGTCTAGCTCCCTCATTTGTGAACCAGGAGGCTTCAGATATGCCACATGGCCCTCACCTCTCTGACTTTGTCCTTCAACTCACATTCTCACACCCTGCAATGTGTCCCCTCCAACCCTCTTCCATGCTGAGTCCTACTTTAATGTTTTGCTTTTTCCCTCTCTTCCTTCCTACAATAGTCTCCCTATGGCAGTCTGGGAAAGCCTAATAAACAGACCCATCTCCACCATCCATCAAACACCTCCCCTGAGATAGCAAAAGACATAGAAAGTGAGAAGCCAGCCAGCCTCTGCCCTGCCTGAACTCACAATCCTGTTGGGGAGAAACAGTCAAGAACTCACCACTTGTATCCGTGTATTCTCTAGAACACATGTGTCAAACACAAGGCCCGCGGGCCAAATCCGTCCTGCCAGGCCTTGCAATGTGGCCCGCACTGCGCTGTCATCACTGCACTCCGCTGCGTTTCCATCACAATGAGTTTATGATTGTTCAGTAAACCATTCGGCCCGCGATTTAGGCTGGATTTTAGATTTTGGCCCCTTCTCTGATTGAGTCCGACACCCCTACTCTAGGACTGGGTCCTAATAACCACAATAGTGTCTATACTCTGTGACCCTAGCACCTGGCATGAGTAGGCAGTTAGGGGCATAATGAAGGGCAGCTTCTTTTTATTTTAATATATAAATTGATTTCAGAAAGGAAGGGAAAGGGAGAGAAACATCAATGATGAGAAACATTGATCAGCTGCCTCCTGGGGATCAAGCCCAAAACCTGCGCATGTGCCCTTGACCACAATCAAACCTGGGACCCTTCAGTCTGCAGGCTGCCGCTCTATCCACTGAGCCAAACCGGCTAGGGCAGCAACTACTTTGAAGTTAAGAGTTTAACAAAAGTTCTTTCTACACATTTGCTGTAAAAATTTCAAAGGTCATTACATAACAGTACTGTAGTTCATTAGGTAAAAGGAGAACCTTTCCCCCAGCATATCCTTAGCCATTACACAGTGGGGGCCGCTGTTACATTTGCTGGGTGTTCTTGCATTGTCTATATATGTAGATAATCAATCTATACACTATTCTATAAACAAGCCTTTTTCATTTTATGAGATAATCAATGCCAAGTAACATAGGTAAACTTAGAATACTGCTTTCTAGAACGTGCTAAAAAATAATAGCTCTTTAAATTGGTATATACAAATCTTTTGTTGTTTCAAGCTGAGGGTAGGGAAGTCCTGGCAGGAACTCCCACCTTGGGGAAAGGGGTGATGTGTGCCCTCTCCCAAGGGGTGGTCGATCTAACCCAAATCTAGTGAAAGTGTCACTGTTATGGTGGGGGGTAAGGCACCTTTCCCACCTTTGCTGAGAGCTGACTGGTGACATCCAATCACCTGGGGCGGGGAAGGGCCAGGACAGGGCTGCAGAGGCCCTCTTAGTACCTGGTTCAGGCCAAAGAAGCCTGAGTGCTGTCAGCAGGGCCTCTGCCGCCTACCAGCCTGCATGCCCGGTGGCTGGGGGAGGTGCTGCTCAGGCCTGATGCTGATCTCTCCTGACAGCTGCTCCTAAGGCTGGCAGGGCAGGCGGGCAGGCGGGGGGGAAGGGACCAGATTTATAGGTCCAGTTGCCTGGACAGACCTGGGAGGGCACACTCTGGTGAGCATCCTCTGAGGGCATGGCTATGAGAGGTCAGGAACCACTCTGCCCTCACCTTTCCACTTCTTCATACCAAGAGTACCACGGGTGCTCATTTCTGCCTACACCCCACAGGCTGCCAGGGAGACTAGTGGCACCCATGCGACTGCCACGCCTGACCCCTGGCTACCTCCGGGTGCTACGGGTAAGTACCTCTAACTCAGGGTTTCTGGGACCGACCCCTCCCTCCCCATACTGTAACCGGGCGGTGGGCCCCCAACAGCCAGGGAATGTGGTCACGTTGTCTGCCGCCTGAGCTGCCAGGACCCAGATGGGCACTGAAGCGAGAGGGAACGGGGTGGAATCTCCCTGGGGCAGCCATGGCGGCCGTACCTCCTTCACCCAGCTATGCCTTCTCAGCCCCTTCCCTTCCTGGAAGCCTCAACTGACCCTTCCGGCGGACCCTCTGTACATCCCCAGATGCAGGTAGCCGGGAAGCTGAAGGCAGAGCCCCCGTGTTCACTGACTGGGGTTGTGGCTACACTGATGGCTGTCCTCGGACTGGGTGGCTCCTGCTATGCCGTCTGGAAGATGATGGGACAACAGCCACCGCCACGGGCCCCGTGACGAAGTGGGCAGCCTGTCACCTGGGCCCTGGGGGTAGGTAACTCCGCAGGGACTGCAATCTTGGGGTCCCACTTCATTTCTTCCCTCATCGGAAGCAGAGCCGTTTAAACCTGATTCTACGCCCCCTCCCCCCTCCTCCCCACTGTACCTGGGCTCTGCCTGGTGGCTCCGGGCAAGGATGCGGGTTCCACAGCTGGACCAAGTAAGGAACAGACCCCCTGGGTGCTGCACACAAGAATGGCAGAGAAATCCTTACGGGGCAGGCGTTTGGGGGAGACCTGGAGGCTAGGGAGTCAGAGGCAAGCACTCTTTATCCAGGTCCTTTATTTGAGGGGGAGGGCACCCAGAAGAGGCCATCCACTTGCAAATTCAGGGCCAAAGAAGGATGGCACAGTCTCTCCCGGCCTAGCCCTGCGTCACAGTCCATGGGCGGCCGCTCTGCCCTGCATCTTCATGTCAGGTCGACGTGTCCATCTCAGGGACCTCCGTGGATACTTCTGTGGGCACTGCCAGCCGCTTGGGGGCCACATAGGAGCCCATGCCTGCTGCCCTCTCAGCCTCTTCCTGAGTGTAGGGCTCCACGCTCAGCTGCTTTAGCCTGGGAGAGAGAAAAGGAGATGGGAGCTGCCCAGATGGGAGCCCTGTAAACAGACACCCACCCTCAACCCTCTCCTCGCTCCTTCATACCTTTTCTTGTGGTCTTTGGACCGGAAGTGGGTCTTCAGGTTGGCAGAATCGATGAAGTACCTCCTAAGGGATGAGGGGTAAGAGGAGAGTGATCAGGGAACGATGTCTCTCGGAGGTATCTAGTTCCCTGACCACAGCTTGTTCTTTATATGTATATATATATTTTTTTAATTGATTTTTTACAGAGAGAAAGGGAGAGAGAGAGAGAGCTAGAAACGTCGATGAGAGAGAAACATCGACCAGCTGCCCCTTGCACACCCCCCACCGGGGATGTGCCCGCAACCAAGGTACATGCCCTTGACCGGAATCGAACCCAGGACTTTCCAGTCCGCAGGTCCAGCCACAGCTCGTTCTTGGACGCAAACTTTGAGTCTGAAGGGCTCGGAGGCCCGCAGACCCCGCGCGCCCGGGGGCCCGGACCCCACACCCCCGTCCGGACCACGGACCCTCCTCCTCCCGAGGCGGCGCGGCGGGACTCACGCGCAGGCCAGGCAGCGATGCAGGCCGCCCCCGGGCAGGTCCGGGTCTGGCTGGGCACCCGCGTCCGGCCGGGGCCGTGAGGGAACCTGGGGCCGCAGCTCGCGGTGGATCTCGTCCAGGTCCGGCCGCCGCCGCTTCGCCTTCATCTGGCGGCCCAGAGAGTGCGCCCGGTGCGCGCCCGTCCGGCGGGAGCGGCCCATGGCCGGCGGCGGCGGAGCGCGGGGCCGGCGCCGCGGAGGAGCTCACGTGCGCGCGCTTCCGGGTTCTAAATGACGTCAGGTGACGCCAGGGGGCGGGCAGGCGCCACCGGGCTGCCGCTGATGACGTCACTTGCGCGGACCGCGTCTTGAGCGACCCCTGGCGGCCAAGTGTGTCAGTGACGGTGCCCGCTGCAGAGCCCAATGACGATGCGTCCCAACCTGAGGGCAGGGGGTGGGGGGGGCCTGCAGCGCCGCTGGAGAGGGTGGGGGTGCATGTCCTTGGGGGTTCCAGGGCGTCCCGCTTCCCCGCCCACCCCGTCCTGCACCACCTCTCAGCGTTATCCTCTGGCCCCATCTCCTCCTTGCTTGCCACATCTTCGACTTCGCGGAGGAGGAGGAGCATGTGCCCGCAACCAATGTGCGTGCCCTTGACCGGGATCGAACCTGGGACCTTTCAGTCCGCAGACCCACACTCTATCCTCTGAGCCAAACCGGTTGAGGCAGGAGGGGTATGTTTTAAGAATCTCTGGGAGGCACTGAAAAATATCAGTGAAGTGAATAAATTGATAAATGAACGAGCGTGAATAAGTTTGGGATGCCGGTCTCCATATGGCTTCCTGAGATACCTCCATTCCCTGGCAAATCCCTGCCCCTTCTCACTGCTCCTCAGTTATTCCCTTGGGTGTCCACTCCTTATCCACCCCCAGACAAATCCGTGGGGAGGTGGGAAGGGGTGTTCCTCCCCAGAGATCACAGTGCTCAGGCAGTGTCTGATGTAAGAGGGATCAGCTCCTTCCACAGAAGAGGTGCTCACAGGAGGGCCTCCCATCTCTGCCCCTGCCTCTGAGCCCTGGCCTGCCATGCGCGGGCTGGCAACAAAGGCAGAGAGAGAGACAGCCTAGGTGTTGTGTGCTCCAGAGTAGGGAGAGGGCAGAGAAGCCTCTTCCCACTCACCTGGGCCTGGTGCCTTCCAGGCGGACCAGAGGAGCTCAGCAATAATTCAGGGGCTCCAGCTCTTTGGAACTTGTTGCCAGGAAACAGGGAGACAGGCACGTGCATCCCTGGGGAGAGGAATCGGTTTCCAGCCCAGACAGGGCAGTGAAATGTAAGCCCAGGGCACTGCCTGGGGGACTCGGGACCTTCCCACTCCAGTTCACAGAGGCTACGTGGGGACATCGGGCAGGGCCCTGCTGACGGCACAGCAGGTATGGCTCTAGTCACAGGGGCGCCAATGTGGGTCCCGGGTCCAAGGATTTGGAAATGGACTCAGTGAAAGAAGAGGACTTTTCTGAAGCCATGCCAAGAGATCAAATTTAAGTACTCCTGCGAAGGAGGCCTCTGCGGGGAGATGTCGCTATTATGCTTGGCCAATATGGGTCACGGCAAGGGGCCGAGCTGGCAGGAGCCCGCTCTGTCCCACCCCCACCCTAGACTCCTTGGATCCGTTCACTTGCTGGGCACTGTGCCAGCTGGGGAGGCTGGTGCATCTTTAATGAAGTCACCAGATCCCTGGGACAGGCTCTCAGTCTTACCAAGTTCCTAAGCCAGACCCACTGGGTGCCCGCTGAGCCGCTGCCTCCCTGTACCCCGGTGCCAGGCCCGTTTCCCCTGCAGCTATGAACCAGGCCTTCTGGAAAACCTACAAATCCAAAGTGCTGCAGACCCTGGGTGGGGAATCTGAGGAGGAACTGGCAGAGGAGGTGAGTACCACCCCTGCTTGCTGAGTGGGGCAGGGGCAGGGGGGAAGCAGGTACAGAGAAGGGCAAGGGGCAGGCTCAGAGAGAAAGAGAGGGTGGGGTACGTTGTACAGAAGTAATCAGCCCCCTCAAGGATGACAAAAGGCATGGTACAGTGTCAGAAAGCCAGGACGTTCAAGAAGAAAAGACTTGGGGGAACAGCCACTATATCCAGAGGTCTCCAGGATTGCCACAGGGAGAAGATCCTTCTGGGTCCAGTGGGCAGTGGCCACACAGGTACACTCAGCTTACTTACAGCTGGGCAGAGCTGAACAGAAGGGGGATGGCTTGCCTTGAGGAGAAGTGGAGCCTCCTGATACCGGAGGTGGGAACAGAGACACTTAAAAAAAAAATATATATATATATATATGATTGATTTTTTACAGAGAGAAAGGGAGAGAGATAGAGAGCCAGAAACACTGATGAGAGAGAAACACCAATCAGCTGTCTCCTGCACACCTCCTACTGGGGATGTGCCTGCAACCAAGGTATATGCCCTTGACTGGAACCGAACCTGGAACCCTTCAGTCCACAGCCTGACGCTCTATCCACTGAGCCAAACCGGTTTCGGTGGAACAGTGACACTTTTATTTTGAGGGTCACTGACAGCATCAGAGCAGAGCCACACATGTTTATCCTGACGTTGAAAAAAACACAACAAAACTGAAAAGGCTCTGACAATTCTTACACCTAGAGGCTGTGATAAGTAACAATTGCAAAAACAGACGTGGCAGGGGCAGGAACACGCTCTGTGGTGTGTGTGTATGTGAATTAGTGTATGTCTACACAGGGCTGGGCATGTGGGTCAGGGTTAGGATTGGTGTCTGTGTGGTGTCCCCGGTGAAGGTGTATGTGCCGGTGTGAACCAGGCATAGGTGTTTTCAGGTGTGTGCCTTTGAGCAGAGTCTATGCCTGCATGGCTCTGCACAGGTTTGGCCGGTGTTCTGTTTGTTCATTGTGTGTGTGTGTGTGTGTGTGTGTGTGTGTGTACATCTGTATCTTGGTGTCTGAGGGTGGGTGGGAAGGTTTGTGTGCTGTGGGAGGGCCTCTATGCGGCTGTCTGCACAAGTGTGAATGGTATAATTGTGTGTGTGTCCTTGTATAAGTGCCTCAGTGCACAGAACCACATAGAGGTGAAGAGCAATAGCCATGTGGAGGCATGCTCATGCACAGGTGTGTCTACATCAATGTGCATGCCCATGTCCACATGTTTTTGGGTATATATGGACGTGTCTGTGGGCGGGCACATATGTGTTTCTGGAGGAATTTTTCTATAAGGTAATGTATGTGACCGGTAGCTTTGTCTAGAGCACATGTGTCAAACACAAGGCCCGCGGGCCAAATCCGTCCCGCCAGGCCTTGCAATGTGGCCCGCACTGCGCTGTCATCACTGCACTCCGCTGCGTTTCCATCACAATGACAGTTTATGACTGTTCAGTAAACCATTCGGCCCGCGATTTAGGCTGGATTTTAGATTTTGGTCCCTTCTCTGATTGAGTTCGACACCCCTAGTCTAGAGGAATACTTTTATGCATCTGTGAAGGGCATGAGAAGACTCGGTGTATGTCCAGTTCTGTGGAATTTGGGGTGCCTGGCCTAGGTGTACCAGGCTAGCAGTGGGAGAGGGGGTTCCTATGCCTTTGGGACCTCTCTCATGCTGGTGGGGGGTCTTGTGTCCCAGAGGGAGAACCCAGCTTTAGTGGAGTCTGAGACAGAGACAGCAGAACCGACCTCAGAGCCCTTCAATCCCATGTCACAGCTGGCCCGCCGGGTGAGTCCTCCCTTCTTCCAGCCCAGCCCCGGGGAGCCCGGAAGAGGCTGCTGTGGGTCCTGGGAGGAGGTGCTGTGGCCCCTCAATGACTCCCAGGCCTCCCTCCCAGGTTCAGGGGGTCGGAGTGAAAGGCTGGCTGACAATGTCATCTCTGTTTAACAAGGAAGATGAGGATAAGCTGCTGCCGCCAGAGCCCTGTGCTGACCAGTATGTGCGTGTGTGAGGGGGAGGGGGAGGTTCTGGGATGGGCCTGGGGTCGCCTTCTCTATGGCCTTTCCATATGGTCAGTTTGTCTTTCTGACCACGGAGGGTTGGGAAGGCCCCCCCCCCCCCCCCTTTCTGTTTCTCTTAGCAGGAAAGAGGCCAAATCAGTATCTCTGGGAGATTAGGTTAGTTTACAGGAGGAATTTAGCAAATGTTGGGATTGAGGCGCTAGAAGGTATTATGGCCGCTCTCTCTCTGTCCACGTGGGAGGGGTCATCTCCCTAGATTCAGGGAACTGAGCAGAGAACCTTTGGGTGTTCAAAGATTCGGATTCAGCAGGTGTGGGCTGAGGCCTGGGATCTGGATTTCAGCAAGCTGGAAGGATCCGAGGCACACCAGTTTAGCAACCAGTCTTGTGGGTCTTCGGTGCTGGAGGGTTAGGGGGCAGGACCCAGGCCTCAGTCTTCCTCCCAGCTCTCTCTCTGGCACACCCTGCTCCTCTGCCCCCTCCTCCAGCCCAGTCTGACATGCCCATATTCCTTCCTCCCCTAGGCCCCCTCACCCTCCCAGCTCTTGTCCCCACACGTATCTCCTCTACTTCTCAGCTCTTGTAGGGGCTCCCCCCAGACCTCCTCAGGCCGCATCCCCGCTCCTTGTTTGCTCTTCCCCCACATTTCCGGGCTACCTCCAAAGTCCCCCCTCCCTCCTTCCCTGAGCCTCCGATTTAGACCTTTCTCCTTCCCTTGGGGTCTCTCCACCCGTCCGTCTCCCGGGTTCCCTCATTTTGCTGGTCCCCCTTTACTCCCAGCCCAGAGCCTGACCCCAGGCCCCACCCGCCTGGGTCCCCAGGGCCCACCTTGGCTCTCCTGACCACGGCTTCCCGGACCCGTTCCTTTCCGGGATCTCCCTCCCCGTCCCTAGCCACTCGCTCGAATCCTTGGCCCTGCCCCTTTCTCAGGGCGCCGTCCCCAGCTTCCCAGACCTGGTGCCTCTCTCTGGCTTTCCTCCTCTGGCCTCTCCCCAGTCACTTTCCTTATCCCGAGACCCTGCCCCACCCGCCCCCCTTCGCGGGACGCCTGAGCCTCCCCTGGTCTCCACACCCTGACCTGCCCCGGCTCCCGGGCCCCTCCAGCCCCCCAAAAACCCCCTCCTATCCCCCCACGCCCCCACCCCCCGGGCTCCGTTACCGGCCCCAGACCCCGCCTCCCCTTCTCCGTCCGCGGCCGGACTCCAGCCCCGCCTCTGCCCTCTGATGCCGGTGTCTTGCAGCCCGCTGGCGGCGCAGGCAGCGGCGGCCGCGGAGGCAGAGGCGGCGGCGGAGGCGGCGGCGCAGCCCCAGCCGCGGGGGCTCGGCTTCTGGGACGCCTTCGCCAGCAGGTGGCAGCAGCAGCAGGCGGCCGCGGCGTCCATGCTGCGCGGCGCCGAGCCCGCCCCGGAGCGGGACCCCGAGGCCGAGGCCGGCGAGGAGGCCGCGGAGGAGGCGGCCGAGCAGCCCGGGCCGCGGGAGACCGACGCGGCGGCCGACTTCAAGTGGGGCTTCCTCACCCACAAGCTGGCCGAGATGCGGGTGAAGGCTGCGCCCAAGGGTGACTAGCCGGCCGGCCAGCCTGGGCGCCCCCTCCTCCTGTCCCACATAAAACCCTGGACCCACAGCCCGTGTGACCGCGTGGTTCTGTGTGTGGACGGTCGGGAAAGCTGCTTTTTTTTGGAGGGCAACCTCAGGGTGAGGGTCCAGCTGGGGGAATCCTTCCTGATCCCACAAACATACAGGGAGAAAATGACCAGGGACAGCCAGGGGATCCGGATGGGTTGTGTTAGATTTAGGGTACAACTTTCCAAGAAGCTGGGGGACCCCTGAGGACAGACTCCATCGCTCTGCCCAGCCTCTTTTATTGATTTCAGAGAGGAAGGAAGAGAGAGAGAGAGAGAGAGAGAGAGAGAGAGAGAGAGAGAGAGAGAGAGAGAGAGAGAGAGGCATCAATGGTAAGAATCACTGATTGGATGCCTCCTGCACACTCCTTATTGGAGATCGAGCCCGAAACCTAGGCATGTGCCTTTGGCCAGAATGCCCAGCCTCTTTTAATTTGGCAAACATTGTCTGTGGCCCTACTATGTGCTTTGTCCCTGTAGTAGGAGGCCACCGACTAACAAGAGGACTCAGACCACCAGTGGGTCCCACACAAGGTGACAAATGGAGGATCAAAATACAGGGCTGTGCTTGGGAGCTCAGAGATGAGGCCCACGGGAGAATCTAGGAATTCCTGAGGGAGGATGAACGTATATAACCTTAGAAGGATGAGTGGAGAGAAAGGACAGGGTAACCCAGGCAAAGGAAGGACCGTGAACCAAGACTCAAGGATGCAAACCTGTGAGGAAGACAGGAGACCTTGTGGTGGTCTTTGAGGGAAAGGGCAGGATGTGAGGTTTCAGGTTGGCCAAATCCTCGTTTGGACGGTCCTTGCCTTTATTATCCTCAGTTCTGGTCCAGTCCTTCCCACCGTGCGGCCAGAAGCAAACAGTAAAACTCTAGTCACGAGTGGCCCCCAGATTTCTGGAGGAGGCCCTCCCCAGAACCTCCTAAACACTCCATTCCCTCTTCCCGGCTATAGTGCGGGCCCACCTGGGGGTCGGTGAGTGGGCACTAACTGATTCGCTAATGGTTAGAGCAGCTTTCCTTCTCTGAGCGCTCCTGAGTGCGGGGAACACTCCTCCGACAGGGGCAGCGAGCACCATGAGCTTTACCGCTATTTCACACACATGATCACCGAGGGGTGCACCTGCCGTCCGGAGAGGTCAAGTGCTCACCCAAGGAGTCACCCAGCCTTGAACCCACACTCCAAAACGCACGCAAAACACACTCGCAAGCCCGTCAGGCCACCTTCCTCAACATCAACCTCAGGACTCGCTTAACCGTTTGCCTTTATTCAACAGGCTCTGAGTTCTTCGCTCCCCAGACCCGGCCTGCGCTGGGGCCGCCGTCTGCACCGGGAAGGGCCTTGGGAGTGATCTTATCCGGGAAGGGCCTTGGGAGTGATCTTGTTCGTGCGCCCACGGTCACTCGGAAAAGCCACGATCCAGCGGGGGGCGGCGGGGCTTGCCAAAAATCCACCTGCGCGCCAGAGGCGGGGCGTCACTGTTGGTGCCGGGTCCAGCCCGGCGCTGGCCCTCTGACCCTCCCCGGACGCCAGACCCCTCGGGAGCCCCCCGGACGCCGGACCCCTCGGGAGCCGGCTCCCGGGCGGCGCGGCGCGGTCACACGGCGGACTCGCGCGGCGGGCTGCGGGCGCGCTGGCAGCCGTACAGCCACTGGATGACGCGCGCGTTGCGCTCCACCACCGACACCGGGGGGCGCCCGTCCCGCGCCCCCGCCGCCTCCGAGCCGCCGCCGCCCGCGTGGTCCGAGCGGCCCGCGCCGCCTTCGCTGGAGGCCCAGTCGCTGGTGTCCCCGGAGCCCGGCGGCGGCGGCGTCCCGGGCGGGGGGCTGGCGTCGGCGCCCCAGCTCCGCGGCTGGAAGCGCTCGGCGCCCAGCACCTCCACCAGCGCGCGCTCCAGGCCGCAGTAGTTGAAGAAGCGCTCCTTCTCCGACAGCGGCAGCGAGCACGTGGGGCACAGCGCCCGCTTGCCCGCCGCGTCCGGGGCGTCCTGGGGCGCGGCCCAGCCTCCCGCCGCCGCGGGCCGCTCCGCTGGCCCCGGGCCGCTGGAGGGCGCGTCCCGGGGGGCGCCCAGGAAGAGGCGGCGCACCAGCCCCTGGCCCTTGGCGTTCTCCTTGTCCACCAGAGCCTTGCAGTCCCGCTTCTGGCGGTAGAAGATGAGGGAGTCCGGCCTGGGCAGCCGCCGGCCGCTGCCCCGACGGGCCGGCCTGGGCGTCCGGGGCGACGCGGGCCCCCCCAGCTCGTTGCAGGGGTGCGGCATGAGCGGCCCGGGCCCCCCGCGCAGCGCTGGCTCCTGGCGTCGGGCGATCACCTGGTGCGTCTTGACATACTTCGCTTTGTCCGCCTCCAGCCTCTCCACGGCGCTGGGGGTCCGGCCCCGGGATGGGGTGGAGGGAGAGGCCAGGAGCATCTTAGCAGAACCGGGCGGGACGGTGCCCCATAAGCCACCGGAGTCAGGCAGCTAGTGGCGCTGCTGAGGGCAATTGGCTGGGGCTCCCTGAGTCCTGCAGGGAAAGAGGAATGGTCAGGGGGAGAGTGGATAGCCCTGCAGGCATTCCCGGGAACAGGACCAGCCAGTCACTCCTCCCCGCCCAAGGCCGTCTGGAGGGCAGAGGCTCTGGCTGTCCCTTACCTCCATTCCTCAAAGACATGGGGCAGGATTGCCCCAATCTGGCCACAGGACCCTGCCAAGCACGCATCAGCAAGCAGGACACTTGGGAAAGGAAACGGGGCTGGTCCAGGCCCGATTCCCGAAAGTGACCTGGACCGGAAAAAATACCTCTTCCCAAACCAGCAACTTGGAGTCCAAGACAAGGAGCTTCCCAGCCACAGGCTGGCTCCAGCGGGGCCCACCCTTCCCACCGCGAGCGCCGAGGTCAGGGACATAATGGCAGTGTAGGAGGCTCCAGTCATCGGGGCCAACGGCCCTGCCCAGGCCCAGGAGGGCCATTGAGGAGGGCAGGGCGGTGATCACCAGGTCATGCCAGCCAGCCGCCTGCTGCCCACCCACTCCGTGCCCCTGCCAAGGGAACTCCAGATGCCCTTGTGTGTAAACATCCCCACCTCTGCCTCTCCATTCCACAGAGTGCGGCCCTGGCGCAGAGATGAAGGGGCTTGCTCAGGGCTTCCTGAGAATTAGGGCCTGGGACTGGGGCTCGGTCCCTTGCCTTGCATTCCAGAACTGGTTCAGGTTGGATCTCTCACTTGCCTGTCAGAACATCCCTTTTTTTCTTCCTTGTACTCCCGCTGACATACAACCAAGCAATTTCCGATAGAGATGGGGGCCTGGCCTCATTTAAAGTGTCCCTGCCATCGATTCTTCCCGAAACCTGCACTCCTGGAAACCTGCCCTCAGGGTCCCGGCCTCCTTCTCATCCTGAGACCCCGTGACCCACCTCCCGCCGCAGGGGAGAGGGGCCAGGAGGGGTTGTAAATCAAGAGCTGACAGTTTCCTTGGCAGTCACAGGATGGGCCACCCACACAGCTCAGCACTCCCCACCCCACCCTGCCGCCTCCATCCTCCATTCAGCTGAGAGGGGCACATCAGTTCTGGGGCTTAGAGGACCTAAGTCTGGAGGCAACAAAGCAACAGAACTTGTCAGGGATGAGGGGAGGGGAGCCCTGGTGATGAGCCATGAGGCAGAGACCCTGCCAACCCCACTCACACACACACACACACACACACACACACACACACACTTTCACACACACACACACACACACACACACACACTTTCACACTCACACACACACACACACACACTCCCCCCCCCCACACACACACACACACACACACACTTTCACACTCACATACACACACACACTTTCACACACTCACACACACACACATCAGCCCATAGGTGACTGGGAACCCAGGACGCAAGGGGAGTCTGACAGTGCCTGCCTTCCTGGCTCCCAAGGATGATAGCAGGCACTGGGTCATTCCAAGGTCTCGGAGGGCACTGCATTTCTCTGACCCCATGGACACCCTCACATCTCCTCAGCCCCTCCTCCTCTCCCAGCCCCTGTGCAGAGGCTATAAAAAGCCCCTAAACACAGACACCAAAATAGCCTGCCGTCCACTGCCTCTCCCCCGCCTTCGGGGCTGGCCTTGCCCGACCACAGACGTCCGCCCTAGATGCCTGGCAGGCATCCCTGCGCCCACTTTCTCCCAGCCCCGGGGTTGGTGGTCCGAGCTGTGTCCAGGCTTCTGCTCCAGATGAGGGCTGGGGAGCTGAGCTCATTAGCTTGGAGCCAGGCTCCCTGCCTTTGGATGCCTCCCCAACCCCCCATCTCAGCACTGGGCTGGGGATGCACTCACCTCGCTGTGTGGAGACTGAAGGCAGGGGTCCGAGGGCAGGTCCAGACTGAGGGCAGGAGGGACAGCAGGGACTAGAAGTAACTTTGGTGGCAGCCAAACCTCGCTCTCCACAGGAAAAGCAAAGGGAGCCTCCACCCCCCACCCCGCCCCCCAGATTAACCCTCGCCTTCCTGACCCAGAGCCTGGCCTCCATTAACTCCTTCCTGATCACAGTCTGTTGGCGAGGGCCACTAGCCGGCCCAGCGCCTTTGTGTCACAGGGGGTCACACAGGCCCTGATAGGTGAAGTGATTTGCCTGGAGGCACCGGGAGCTTGGGGCGCAGCCAGGACCCCAAACACATTCTCCCGATTCCTCAGAGGCTCGGGGTGGGGACATGCTGTTCACGTGGGGTCAGCCCCCGCTGGGCCTTGGCGAATCCTCCTGGTTGGCATAGGAAGGCAGAGCAGGGTTCTCATAACTGTGCCTTTCCCCTCCGTGCAGGCTTAGACCCGTCCCGGCCCCGGTGTGTGGGCATCCAGCCGGCCCTCCGCGGGCGAGGCCAGCACTCTGCAGCCTGAGGGTGGGGTCAGTGGCGCTGCCGGTGTTCAGGGTGAGCCTGTCCCAGCACGTCTTGGCGGGAAGGTCGCCTGGGAGCCACGGGAGGTGCCTCTGCCCAGAGTCCTCTGATGGCAAAGGGGGTTTGTCTGGCCCGAGGAAGGTGAAGGGATGATTTTGGGGTCAAGTCTAGGTCCTTTGACCTCCTTCCTCCTCTGTCCCAAGGAGGGGGCTTCTAGAGCGGGCAGGGTTCCTGGTCTGGCACCTCATCGTCTCCCCTGGCAGGTAACCTCTGTAGTGCCCAGAATTCAAAGACCAATTTCCTGCCAAGGGTTCTCGCCCTCCTCTGCCTGGCCTCTTTCCCTCCTTTCTAGCACTTTTTAACATTTGCAAAACACGTTCATACCAGTGCTCTCCAGTCTCCTCTGTCTCTCCCAGGGACCCCAGACAGGGCGACCAGCGGGGTAAGGAAACCGGATGAGAGAGGGGAGAGACTTGCCCCAACCCAACTCTAACCCCAAACCACCCCTTCGGGCACCCTCTGCCTGTCAGGTGAGGAATGGGTCTGAGAACCAGAAGGCCCATCCCCTGGTAAGAGATTTTTATTACCTAGCAAGGATTATTACTATTTTGTCCGTGACCGTTTCATAAGGTGCTGTTACTTTACAAGAATGCGTCCATGTACTTTGTCCCAATTCATCCTCAGGACAATCTCAGGCGGGCAGGTTTTCTTATTCTTCCCGTCTGACAGCGGAAGAGACTGAGTCTCAGAGAGGGAACATGACTGATCCAAGCTCACATGGTTAGGAATGATAGCTAACGTTTGTTGAGAGATCAATAAATACGAGGCACTGTTCTGAGCATTTCAAACGATGAACACATGTAATTCTCAAAACAACCAAATGGAGTGGGTACTTTCACTCTTCTAACGTTATAGATGAGGCAACCCTGAGATCTGGCCACGAAGGGGTTAAGCTTGGAGGCTGGGCAGGGCCCAGCTGGGATGCTGTCAATGGCAGGAAACCTGGCCTGTGAAGGAGGGGGAGGATGGGGCTGCTGTGTCTGGCTCCTGACACAACCCCCATCCTTTTGGCCTTAAAGGAGCATCCGGGTTGGGTGGAAGGGCAGGGGCCCCTTTCTCTTCTCTTGTTTAGGGACCAAAGGCAGATGCTGGGCTACAGAAAGGGGACCGCAGGTGCCGCCTGGGGGCAGCCCCCAGTCCGTGAGGTGACCGGAAGTGACCCGGCTCCCTGCCTGAGTATTCTGTTAGGGGTGAGGGAGCCGCAGACTCACCCTGAGGGAGGGCCAGCTGCTCTGCTCTCAGGAGCCTGAGGAGGAGGGTGGTCACGGAGCCTTTCAGGGGATCTCTGTCTGGGATGCCAGGGGCACAGACCCTCTATCAGGTCCTGGTGGAAAGGTCAAACTGGATTGGCTTCCCGGGTGAGAGAGGCTTGAAAGAGTGAGGGGGGATGGGGGGATGATTAGGGGGAGCTGCAGTGGCCTGCACACACACACACACACACACACACACACACACACACACCGTCTCTTGGCCACACTTGCTGTGACTGGATCATCTGTCTTTCTGGTCATGGGTCCCCAAGGAGATCCTTAAAGTGGCTCTTTCCGGCCCTAGAGCCAGGGCCTGGGGGGTTGGGGGGGGGGGTCTGAGAGATGTTTCCTTCCTGCTTTGGAGCTCATTCCCGAATCACCCTGAGGATCAATGGGAACAGGCCTGAGTCAGAACTGGCTCCTGGAGGAGAGGTTGGTGGGTCAGGGAGCCCTTCAGATCCAGCCTCAGATATCCGGGACCTGCATTGTCACAGGGGAGAAAGGTGTTAACCCTCACCGGGCAGCCCCTTGCCATAGCCACCCACACCTCTGCCCACCTCTGGTTCTGATCCTAGTCTACCACCACTGGCTGTGTGGTCTTGAGCAAGAACTTAACCGCTCCGAACTTCCTTCTGTGTAGACCGGCAGAGAAGAGAAAGCACCTGATGCTTCAGGGGATCCAAATGTTAGATGAGTCTGGCCAGCATGGCTCAGTGGTTAAGCGTCAACCTATGAACTAAGAAGTCACGGTTCAGCCGAAACCGGTTTGGCTCAGTGGATAGAGCATCAACCTGTGGACTGAGAGGTCCCAGGTTCGATTCCGGTCAAGGGCATGTACCTTGGTTGCAGGCACATCCCCAGTGGGGTGTGTGCAAGAGGCAGCTGATCAATGATTCTCTCTCATCGATGTTTCTAGCTCTCAATCCCTCTCTCTTCCACTCTGAAAAAAATCAATACAATATATTTGGAAAAAAACAACAAAAAAAAGAAGCCACGGTTCAGTGGTTCAGTTCCCCGTCAGGGCATGCCCAGCTTGCGGGCTCAATCCCCAATGTGGGGCATGCAGGAGGCAGCTGATCAATGAATCTCTCTCATCATTGATGTTTCTGTCTATCCAACTCCCTTCCCCTCTATAAAAATAAAATCAATAAATATATTTTTAAAAAATGCTAAGAACAGCCGAAACAGGTTTGGCTCAGTGGATAGAGCGTCAGGCTGTGGACTGAAGGGTCCCAGGTTCGATTCCGGTCAAGGGCATGTACCTTGGTTGCGGGCACATCCCCAGTAGGGGGTGTGCAAGAGGCAGCTTATCAATGATTCTCATCGATGTTTCTAACTATCTATCCCTTTCTCTTCCTCTCTGTAAAAAAACAATAAAAATATATTTAAAAAAACAATGCTAAGAACAATGTTAGATGTATCTGATCTTAGCTCTTGCCCTCCGCCAACACTGTCCTGACAACTCTGGCCTAAATCTTTTTAAACATTTTTTTATTTTTTATTCCCACAGTCTCACTCTCAGCTGTTATCAACAAACCATTCTGAACACTGCCCTGTGGCCTGGGGTCAGCAGATGGGCTTTGCTCCAGGGAGCTCAGCCCGCCTGGGGTGGAGGTGGGGGCAGCCGAGGTGTGAAGGACTGATCACAACTTCAGTGAGAGCAGGGCTGCTGAGACAGCGACACGGAAAGCAGGGGCGTGGGGAGGGGGTGTTTATTCTGTTGGGTGGAGTCGGAAGCTTTCAAAGAGGAGAGGGTATCTAGGCCTGGGAGGGATTTCTGATGGGGTGGGTTGGGGTGGGTTTTGGGGGTTGGAGGGCAGAGGGTAGGGGAATTGGGGGGGGGGATAGTGAGAGCAATAGGTCTAGAGGACAGCAGGAGCCAGAGGCTCAGGAGGGGGCTGCTGGGTGGGGGCTCAGGAGGGCTTAGAGAGAAGATGGGGTACAGAGAAGGGAGGGGTTTTGTGAGCTCAGTGAGGTGATGGGGACCTGAGAAAAGGTCCTGAACGAGGGAAGGGGGCTCAAGGCCACCGGTGGTTCAGAGAGAGGGAGGGGCTCCGGCCATAAGAGGAGCCCTCGCTGGCCACGTGTGGGTCCTCAGAGAGATGAGAGCAGCCATCCTCTCAGCCAGGGCTTTCCGTTTCGGAAAGAATTTCAGCCACAACAATAGCCTGGCTCCACTCTCCCTCTGAGGGGCGGCTGGGGCAGAGCCAGGTGCCCAGCACCCACTGCGCAGTGGCCACTGCGGGCGGGTGGGCGGGGCCAGGAGGAGTGGCCAGAGAGAGAGGAGGGGGCAGTGGGTGGTGAAGAGGCAGATATCATTAACCTTTTTCCCCGGAGCACCTAGTATGAATAAAATAGATGGGGTTGCTCAGCCGGTGTGGCTCAGTGGTGGAGCGTTGACCCATGAACCAAGAAGTCGCTGGTTCTATTCCCAGGTCAGGGCACATGCGGGGGGTGTGGGCTCAGTCCCCAGTGGTAGGCATGCAGGAGGCAGCAGATAGATGATGTTTCTCTCTGATGGATGTTTCTATCTCTGTTCCTCTCCCTTCCTCTCTAAAACATCATTGAAACTTATTTTAAAAAATAGATAGGACTTCTACTGTTCCCATAACAAAACCAACTACATCTGTTGTTTACTATGTGCTAAGCACTTTGCTAAGTGCTTTCTGCTCAGTGCCTCACTCACTTCAGACAAAATTCTATGTGAGGTGGGTGAGAAAGCAGGCGGAGAAGGGTGGGTGACTCACCGAGCCTCACACAGCGTGTGGATGGGGCACTGGGGCTCCAGAGCTCGGCTCTTAGCCAACGACTCACCTGCCACCGCAACTGCTCCCCAGGCCTGGCTGGAGCGAGTCCCCTCTCACCACCCGCCGGCCTTTCTGCCTGGCTTGCTCTGTTGCTCCCGTGCTGGATGGAAGCAAGAATTGGAACAAGAGGGACCTCAGCTCGGTCCTTGCTCCAGTCCTTGTCACCTGCACGTCCATCACCACATCTTCATCAACTCCATCATCTCCATTTTCCACCGCTGTCTTCGTTGACATGCCTTTCGATGGAGTACAAGGAACAGGAAGCATCCAATCTAGTCTTAGTAAAACACCTGGAGAAGAAGCGAGGCTTTTTCAGGGAATGTGGGGGCAGGGGATCTGCCTCCTGTCTTGACAGCTACACTTTCATATGGAGGTGCCGAAAAATGTTTAGATTTTTTAGATTCTTTACACAGAGAAAGTCGTCAAAATACCAAAGACGACTCAGTCTACTTATCACTAAGCACGCATGGGTGTTTTATTAAAGGGCCAGCAGTGTTGAATGAGTAAGAAGATAAAGATGTAAATAATTCATAAGTGATTACACCATTATCCCATCAAATCTATTTTTCTTCCTTTATTTCAGCAAAATTGCTAACTGTCAGAGGGAGAGGTGGAGCCAGGCTATTGTGGCTGAAATTCTTTCCTATAATTAAGGTTTCACATAATGTGCATTCTACTGATAGAAATGCCTCGTTAAATAACCTCTCTTTAGTCTGTGTTTTATTTTCAGTTATTTTATTTGAATTATTTATTTTTAAAAATATTTTTATTGATTTCAGAGAGGATGGAATAGGGAGAGAGAGATAGAAATATCCATGATGAGAGAGAATTGGGGATTGGCTGCCTCCAGCAAGGATCCAGCCCACAACCCAGGCATGTGCCCTGATCAGAATCGAACCTGGGATCTTTCAGTTCTCAGGCTGATGCTCTATCCACTGAGCCAAATTGGCTAGGGCTTATTTTTAGTTTTTTAAAATTTCAATGTGGTGAAACTTTACTCTACTGAG